TAAGGAAGATCTTTACCGATTGGCTTTATCCTAGTTCATACGATAGCTATACACTCACAGAGAAACGTGTAAAAATTTGGAATCTATTGGGTTATTAGTTTTTGAGTTATCGTGCCCGCCATTCGCAAAAGAAAAAAAGACGTTTAAAGTTTGAGAAGCCCTTTAGCCGTCACTTGATGCTGACGCAATAAATCGGCTATATTTTCAAGAGTTCTTGAGATTTTCACTTGAAATTTTGTAGGGACATTCTTGAATTAGTGTAGATTCGAATTAAATAAAAAAATCATTCGCGAACGAATTTTTGCGCACTCTGCCTTCAACACTTTGCACATAGTTTGCTACTACTCGTTGAAGTAGTATTACTAATGAGGTATATGGATGAACGTTTTGGTATAACTCCCATTAAACTTTGAATCCTATTTTAACATAGCCCCCATATAACTACTACTTTTATTTTCGGTATTTTGAAAGTATAAAGTGTATATTCTCACGGAACTGGCAGTAAAATGATATTGTGAAATGTTCGTTAAAATTAAATAAAACAATTAAAATTTGCCATACAGACTTTGGTATTTTCGAAGACCTTCTTAATGAACATCTTTAACCGATTTTGCAATTCCCCTGCCAAAATCTGGACATACATAGGACGGCATTTCTTGTGTTGCAATACTTTTTATTTACACATAATATTACTTACCGAAATGCCTTCCATGAATCCACATACCACAAGTAATAGCCAGGCAATAAACTTTGTTTCTCGCCATTATTCGATGTTTCATATTTCATTAGATCGTTATGAGTAAATGCCCTTGTCAGGTATGGTTCAATTTCGTACATCCAATCCCAGGAGTACTCAAAATAAGCAGCAACACTAAAAAAATTAGTTTTACTGCGGAAATAATCAGCAATGGCGTCTTCTAAGCTTCGATTTACCAGATTCAATTCTATGCCCCATTTCTCGATGGAAGTAAGTCTTTGTAATGCCACCCAATGAATATTTAAAAGCCATAGAAATATAGCAAATTTACGAAACTCCATATTGAAGGATTTTCCGACTATGCAATCTACTGGGTTTGTGGCACACCGAGGGACTGATAGCGATGAAATTATGTGTACTTTACATTCCTTCCTACTCCTTGTTCAGAATATTTGCAAATCACTTTTGTCACTCGCAGTAATTGAGTGTAACATTTTTTTAATTATTGTTTATAAATGTTTAATGGGTAAAACTTCGAAATAGTCATATAACGAAGTGTAAAATGTATAATGATATTTAATTTATTTAGGTACCAATGTTGCCTTCATATGTCAACTCGGATATGGTAAATAATAAAATTTTTGGAATGCCAATATTTATTAATTTTTACAGCATGAATTCTCTTGCTAGAATACCTTATAAATAGGCCATGATAAATAAGGTGGGTATTTTAGTACGCAACACAATGAATTTAGGCAAGACCCTAAATCGAACATTTCCCTCGTATTGGATTTTCAATAAATATCCCAAAACTCCTATGCTGAAATACCTTCAAAATAACAATTCAGCTGTTTTTAGAGTACTTATTCATTTCTTCTTCATTATTTTTATTTCTTAAATGTATGGATTTTTTATTCTTTTTTAATTTCATAATAAGTTATAGTTTACCGACAAATTTGGTTTTGGTTCGTTAAGTTTGTTACAAATATAATATCATGTGGTTTTTATATCAATCTTAATATTACTACAGCACATTTTTTATATATAGAAATAAAAACATCAATTTTTTCATAGGTTCGTTTGTAAAGAATTCGCTGTGTATATATGTATGCTGTAATAAAATGTTTGCAGCATATATGTATAATATCTGGTTTATATGTGTCAAATGTATTTAAATAATTATAATTCTTAACGTTATGAAAATGTATCTAGTCGGACGGGACCATCTATATTAAACTACACACAACTAATGCTGGAGCTGAATTCTAGTTCTGTGAACATTTTAGATTAAAACTTATACTCTGTAAACATTTTTTTCATTTGAGAGTTGTTCTTAAAAGAAATCCATTATTTTTATATGAACTAAAAAATGCTTCGGAATGTCCGATTTGGGCCAAATATGCACCGTTTTGTTGTATGATTTTTTGCCATTTTAAAGATAACATAAAAAAACTCTAGTAGCTGATTTTCACAATCCCCCTAGAAACAAAATTTTTATCATTAAATAAATTTTGCAATGCAAGAAAAATATGATAATCGTTTGGTACCAAGTCCGGACTGTATGGCGGATACATTAAAACTTCCAACCAAACTCACGAAGTTTCTGTCGAGTCACTGTAGATGTGTGTGGCCTAGAGTTGTCCTGGTGGAACGCGACACCTCTCATGTTGGCCAATTCCGGCCAATTGTAAATGGTTTAAAACAATGGTCGATATTTAGCTCCAGGGCGATGTTACGACTGCTCCGATTTTATCGACATTTTCGACGACGGGCTACCTGTGCAAGGTGCATCTTTAACATCAAAAATTCCTGAACAGAATCTACGAAACCAAAATTGCACATAATTGGCTGTTAAGGTACACCATTCACACTTTTAGCCGCTTGGCTTGCATTTCGCCTTTGTCAAAGAAGAGCTGTAAAATGTACCGAATTTGCTCTTTGTTCATTTTCATTTTTAACAACCTGTAACTCACAACAGAATGTACCAAACAAAAAACAGCAAAATTATTTTTTTTACTGCGAAATGTCACCCTTCCAACGAGCATAAATCTGAAATTTGATCGATACTTTACGATAGTATATGGAGCTATATCTAAATTTCAATCGATTTTCACGAAATTTATGGGAGCTATATCTAAATCTGAATCGATTTTCACGAAACTTAGCACACATCATCATCATCTAGAATCAATTTAGTACCTCATGCCAAATTTCGTTCAAATCGAAAGATATATAGGGATTTTGGTTCACAATTTACTTTAAATCAGACGAAAATATATATGGGAGCTATGCCAAAATCTGAACTGATTTTTCACAATTCCAATAGGGTTCGTCCTTGGGCCAAATAAATGAGCTGTGTCACATTTCATCAGATTCAGGTCATAAATGCGACCTATATTTTGTTTACAATTTAACATGGACAGACGGACGGACATGCATAAATCAACTCAGAAAGTGATGCTATGTATCAGGTATATTCTGGAACTCACGGTGTGTTCTTTTCACTTCACGCATACACTTCTCTTCAGAAGTTACCTCCTGTTCTGCATCTCACGTGAATTGAAATTTTCGAACTGCGACAAAAATAAACGCCAACATGGCACTTTGGAGAAATAGTGTTGCCATACAATATAAACTGTATTCGTTTTAACATTGTTTCTGTAGTATTTTAGTAATTTCGTAAATTCTAACAATAATTTTATTATAATTTTGTAACATTTTATTATTCCCAGCATATATATATAATATATGTAAGACTCTTTAATATCATTAATTTGTTGATTGATTTAAGGGGAACAGTTGGTAACCCTATCTTGTACGATCGCTGGCTGGAATTTTTTAAATCGAGCGCGGACTTTTATTTGCCTTTTAAAAAATAATGTAAAAAATAAATTTTTTCGAAGCAATCAGTTCATAAGTGTAATTAAATTATTACATTGAACATATATCGATATATATCTAATACCTTAATCTAGGAAAAAATCTTCTGATCCCCTAATATGACAAATACTAATCATTGACAAATTTCAAGACTCATAATATCTCTTTCAAAACCCAAAATCCTCTTTCAATACCCAAATGTATAGTTAAAAAATAAACGTGTGTTGTTTTGTAAAAAATAAAAAAATAATATATTTCTTATTTTTCTTTTCTTTTATAAATTTGATGATGAGTACTATTTAAAAAGATTTACAAACAATTATTATTTAACTAAAATTGATTGATATTTAGAAAAAAACTGAAAGACACAGCTTTAAAATATTTTAAAAGTGTATTTGTGTGAGATGTTGGTATGGTTCTTATAACAACTTATTAGAAGCAAAGGAAACTTAGCTTAAACATTCGTTTATGTTAGTAGTATTGAAATATCAATAACATTTGAAGAAATGAGCTTGGAAAAATAAATGCTATTTTGTTAAGTTCCTTTGATTCTTGATCTTCAACACACAAAACTGTGATATCTATTTAATTTTTTGTATATATATTTTTTTTGAGTTTATTACATTTATATTTTGAAAATATTTAATTTAAATATATATAAATAATATGTATATAAAAAATAAAGAAAGAAAATAAAATTATAAAAAACTACATATAAATGAAAACAAAAGAAATATACTGCTATTTATGTTTAGAAAATATGTATGTATGTATATAAATAAGCTTGTAATTTATTTCTCTAGATTAATATGCCTACTAGAAAGAAGAACGACATTTTAAATAAGAACAAAAAGAAATAAATTGAAATTAAAAAATTAAAAAAAAAATCTCAATAAATATACTATTACATATTTAGCTTCTTTTTCTCAATTATTATGGTTTTTTTGCATACAATTTTTTTTTTGTTTTTGTTACTACTTATATAAGAAACAGAGTTTTATATATAAATAAAGGCACTGTTTCGTTTAGAGAAAAAATGTATCTCCTAAAAAACCTAGAGATTTTCCTTACTTATGTAATTGCGATTCTTAGAGATTATCTTACATAGAAAGCGTGCACACAATATTGTTGCTTTTATAATTTGTTTTGCATACATGCAACGTTTAAAAAACGAGAAATGTCGAAATATTTGTTTTTTTTTAGATTCTTTATATGTAATTTAAACTCCAGAGATATTTCTCTAACAATAATTAGAGAGCAGTTATTTATAAAAAAAACAATATGCAATAAAAAAGTATCTTGATGATGGGTGTCTTTTGTTGTCCTCCACTTCTTCGATAATAATAAGCACAAATTTGTATTTTCCATCAAATACTAGATTCATTGTGTAGATAACATCTCTGTTTTGTTTTGTTTTTTTTTCTGAGGTTTTTTATGAGATACCACCAGCAACTGGTGTCACACTCGAATCATCTGAATATAATTTCATAATATCAGCAATGGCACTATTCGAACCGAATATTAGAGCAGCAATGCCACACAAAAATATGACAATATTTTTCCATACAATCCAGTTGTATGCACCGAATCCAGTATCCCAATGTGTAACCATTTCAATGAAGACCTACGGAGGATAGGAATGAAACAATTATATATCTGATTTACTTGCAAAAGGGATTTTTTTAACTTACAGGGAATATCAGACCCAGAATGGAGAAGCAGAAGGCACCAATGAGACCCATAAATGGAGCTATCGTAGGCACAGACACAGCCAAAACAACAGCAGCAGTTACCAAAACAGTTCTGAAAAATAAGAAAAAAATTAAATTTGATTTTAAAAATAAAGTTTGAAGATGTAAGAAATATTAATTGAAATTCAAAATTTAGATAAAATTAAGTGTTGGATTAAGGTATAGATTACTCGGATACGTCAATGAACGAAAGTGCAAAAAAAAAGAAGTAACGTGACGACATACACTAAATACGGTTGAATTATATGTCAATGCCTTCAGACGTCTACTAGTTTATGTGTCAAATAAGTGTGGTGCCAACATACATTCAATTCGTATCAAGGTTGCTGAACCACTTCCTGAAAACCCTTAAAAAATTAGCAAGACAGTTTGAAAATGGGTGAGGTGAATATTCAAAAAATATCTTAAATCGATCGGGACTATTATATGAGAGACAGGAGAAAACGAAATACAAACAGCTAGTTTGGAAAATTGGCCTAGGACCTTGAACATACAGAATATGTAGCTTGACTTTTGTATGAGCACTATGTACAGGGACTTCTTTATGAGAGCTAGAAGAAAAGTAAATATCAAAGTACAAGCAGCTACTATGTAAAATTGGTCTAAGACCTTGAACATAGAAAATGTCCTGTAAAAAAGTGGTTTCCGCACCAAGGGAGTTGTTTCTATAACAAAACACCATCTTAAAAGGTGGTTCTGATTAGATTGTTTTCCTTTTTTTAATTTAAAATACTTTTTTTTTTGGAAAGTGTTATTCCCGTTTTCGCATGGTGAGTAGAAATTATTTTTGTTTTAAAGACAAATTATAATTTATAAATTACGAATTAAACTTACCTTATAACATAATTAACTAACAGAGGACGTTTGGTACATTTTTCCTTAATACTATCCCATACGATTTCCAAACAGACATAGAATTGCAGACCAAATGTACAGAATACAGCCAAAGCAATCAATACCTTTACAGCTTGGGCAGGCCTAAAAACAAAAACAACAAAAATATTTTTTAGTGTTTCATATTGGCCTATATGAATAACTTACCATTCATGAACGGGCAAATTCAAGGTAATACTTTCTTCGGTACCTTCACCATAACGCAAATAGCCCAAGAAACCCAAAAACATATAGATCAAGGTGACACCAGACATACCCTGGCTGAGAACACCACAAATGCCCAAGAAATGGCGAGGATTTTCCATATTATTCTCCAGGGGCATAACGACACCAATAGCCTCCATGGCGAAAATGGTAATCGAGAAGAATGCCGGCAGTGTTGACATTTGGAAATAATTGCGTGTTTCAATTGAGGGTAGTTCTTGTACCAAATAATAGAAGGTGATGCCCAAACCCAAGCCCATAAAAACATTGGCAATCATTGAAACGGGTGCCAAATATTTCAAATTGGGAATCCATGAGAGCAAAATCAATGGTATGAGCAGACAAGAGATAAGCATGCGTAGAGAAACTTCAGTTCCGGTCCAGTGATTTAAGACCTGTAAAATGGAAATAGAAAAATATAATTAAATAAAATGTATTTAAGAAATTGGAGTTTAATAATAATTACCTGTTCGAAATTCTTGGCCACAATTACAGTGTACACCGAGCAAGTACCAAAGTAGGTTAGGAACAATCCAAATAAAATGGAAAATTTAGCTACCGGTGCAAAACCACGACACCATTTGGGACCATTTTGAAATGAAACTTCAGCAATTTCGGCAAAACTCATTTGTGAACGGCGTGTTTTGTAATACAGTTTGTGGCCACATTTTACCTGAAAGAAAAATAAATAATGAAAATAAATATTTAATCAAATATTTTACGTATAAATGAATTGAAAAAATTATTATAGTAATGAAAAGTGCAATAAATGCAAAAGTACATAATAAGAATTTGATTAATTTTCCCTTCCTACACTATAACACAATATTATTTTCTATATTAGCTGATAATGCAGATTTTTTTATTGTTTTCAATTGGTTGGTATGATATAAAAATGCTGATGATATATTATATTTTGATATGAAATATAAGCCACTATACAAAATTTAATTACGTAGTTAATTTAATTTTGGATTTACACATTTCAGCTGTTTTGATAACTGTTAAACATATAGTAATATGTAATAACAAATCGTAAATGCGTGCATATATGCGGAATTAACATTTAACCACGTTTCTTATTGTGTAATCAAACTCAGTACAAAATTCTAAATCAAGTGAAATGGGATTGTTTGTATTTCCGCATGGGAAACCTTTATTCAAATGCCAGATATCTATATTTGTATATTTTAGGCATGGGTTATATATTCTAGAAGATTTAAAGTGTATTTTTGTTTGTTTTTCTGAACGCTATATAGGTCACAAGCATGACCATTTTCATGATAGTCGGTCAATATTTAGTGGGTCAAATGTACTCATACTTTTGTGTGAAAAGTGGCAACATTTGCCCCTCTGAGGGGCATAGACCGTAAATGTTCAATGGAAAACATATATGAAAACGGAGATGTTGTATCAACAGTGTGCAAATATTGCCCAGGTTCGGTATATAGATTCACAGAGAGTCGTCACTGGGAATTGTGTAGGTTATCATATGGTCGGCCCCGCCCGCATATACTGTTCCGTTCTCTGGTTTACAAATATTTTAAATATTATATATATAAATATTATATATATAAATATATATATACATATATATATATATATATATATTTTTTTTGTTAGAATGTTTGAAATTTTTAGCATAACAACGTTACCTATAATCCGACGGGGCGTACAAAAATATTCAAATTCCCCTCTATGGCAAAATTTTGTGTACGGCCGTATTACCTAAATACGTCGAATTCATATCTTCAAGGAAATAATATAAATATTACAACAAAATTGAAAAATGTTTTGCTTTTATTTTCAACAAACGAAAAAAGCAAATAATTCGTTCTGTCATAGTTGAATTTGTTCAACTTTGAAAATTCGTACATCGACGTATTTCGGTAACTTTCATATAAATACATGTGTTCTACTCTGGTTGTGAAAAACGCCCAACGAGCTAGTTGAATTTTAGGTAGGGCTGTAAACGTACTACGGTGTACGGTTTGACGTACGTCAATGTGTTATGTTGAAAAACAATTGGTTTAAAATTTGGTTGCCTTAATGCGGTGTACACACTAGCATTTTTGAATGGCACTCTTGCTCAAATTTTGCTTGTTTGATAGTGTGGCCTCACATATTTGTCATTCATCAGGCAACCACAAAAATATTTATGGTTGTTGGACAGTCAGTAATCGATAAAAAAGCTGACAGTCAAAAATGATAGTGTGTACACCGCTTAAGTCTACTGAGATATTCCAAAAAAACGAATTCTTGTGCACAATAACAAGTTGAATATCGGATTTTAAGTATTTATAGATCCAACAGAAGTGACTGAAATCTGGTATTTCGGATTCATGATGAGTAAAAAACTTCTTCGCAGAAAATTTGGGTCCTTGTTTTAACATACCCCCTCATATATAGGCCGGATTTTCCAACCTAATTTGGCATTCTCGGTTCTTGATGAGTAAAAAAATATTTGGAGAAAATTGTCTACATTCGTCAATGTTTCAACATACCTTCCGACATAAAGTTACGGGTGATATTAAATATTTTGAAATATCCTAGGCGCATTTTCCAAGTGCTTGTAATTTGGCATTTCGGATTTTTAATGCATAAACAACATGTTTATAGAAAATGTTGAATATAGGTCCATGCTTTACTATTGAAACTAGGAAATTTGTAAAATAGGTCCATGTTTACCATTGAAATTTTGAATTATCGGTTCTTGATGAAAAAATAAAACAGATTTGCAGACAATTTGAAATATATATCTATGTTTTGACAAAGCCCCCTATACATTTCCGGCACATTTCAGGTATTTTTATGCCACTATAAATATTTTACAATCAATGTACTCGTAATTTGAAATTACTTCGATTGCTATTTTACATTATCCTTTAGATCACGATTTGTATTATATTGTAAACATTATGGATATAAATACGCCCATATCTCCATATCTATGAGTCGTCAAAATATGGACAGCGGCATATCAATATCCATAATTTTATTTACATAGATACAAATAGTGATCTAAAGATCATAATCTCTTTGATAGTTCTCCACCCCTTTTTGATCTATTTTATATATTTCACATTTTCACTTTGTTTTCTTAAAATGTTTTTCAAATGCCTTTTTCTTTTTCCACAAAATATTTTTTTTAATAAAAATAACAATTTTGGACTTACCAATATATAACTGCAGTGTGTACAAATGAAGGCAGTTATTATCGTTGCAAAAATACCCATGATAATACCAGAATACATGAAAGCAATGGGCATGGATAAAATACCAGTACCCAAGGAGGCTTTCAGCAAATGCGTCAATGTTTCACTGTCCCTATAAAATAAAACGGAAAAGAAGCCCAAATTTTCAAATTAAAATTTTGTAACAGTCAAAATACAACATTTCAGTACATACGTTGTGGGATGTTCATTTCGTCGTTCAGCAAATGGATCATAATCTGTTTGATTTAAAGCAGCCTGTTCAGCATCTTTGCGTGGTTGGATTTTATACCTATAAGAAAAAAAAAACAATATTATAAGTTTAAAATTAGACAAATAATTAATTTTTTTATAAATTTATGATAAAAAACACCAAAACCTGCCTCAATTCCATGGGTTCATTTAACGAGTCATTTATTTTTGCCATGTTTCAATATTATTTTGTTCCGTTTAAGGTTTTCGATTGTTTTATTTCGTGCGTCTTAACTCTTGGGAATCTTGAATACAACTGATATCAATCAAAGGCAAGACAATTTCCTTTTAAGAGAATTCAGAGCTTGAATAAAAATCCACAACTATCTTCTCCAATGGCTAAATTTGTAGTGAAATTCTTTTGACAAGTCAACAACAGACGACAGTAGAGTAGTAACACGATCATCAGCACCAAACACACACACCAAATGAATTAAGCGAACGAACGAACAACATTCAATTGTTGTCACAAGCTGAGGCAAATGTTGATGATCAAATCGGTAGCAGTAGCAGCAACAACATTAATTGCCCAGTTGGTCAGTGTGGTTATGTGTCTGTGTCCCTTGTCTGTGTCGTTGTTCGATGTTTTTGCAACATTAGCAGATTCAATTTGGCGGCTTCAATTAAATTACACAAAACGATCCACCACCACAAAGCTTCGTTTGCCGCAATATTTGTTAATAGGCATAATATCTATCAATTATTGCACGCCCTTCCTCCCCATTTTCGTAAAACTACCAAATTCCATTAAAAAAAAGTAAAAATTCAGTGAATTAAAGTTCTTGAATTTCGACGCCAAAACGACAAGACGAACTCATCATTTGACCGGGGTCTTTACGTTCGATTCGACTTCGACTTCTGAACACTGTAAACAAATGCCGCTTCAGCATTTGTTGCATGTGACTGTAAAGAATGTAAGTTCGTATGTATCGGTCGGTATGTCTGGCCAACACGAAACTGCCAATGGCAGCAACAAATAAATGAAACACACACACAATATTCTCTCCTTTCACAAAACTGACTGACTGCACTGAGCATTTCTATTGCATCAGCTTTTGTTTGGTTGGAGTCAATTGTCATTGAGGTTTCTTTTTTAGGACCATTTGTAGAAGAATTTGGCTGTAACAATAGAAACGGTAATACGAAACAAGTCAATATACTCCAAATATGCAATGTGAACGATGATATTTGTTGGCTTTGTAAATCGTCAACGGCAATTTCACTGGCTATTTCTTGCTTGGTAATATTAAAGCATACTTTTAGGCGCATACATGAGAAATATTTAAAAAATGCATAGACAGCAAATGAAAACGTTAATACGTAATTGTTTACCCTGTTGGGGCATTAAAAATACCTAAAAATCGAGGTACATCAAAATGTGTATAGAGGAGGATTATTGTCTTGCTCGCAATCGAAACGGTAATACGAAACAAGTCAATATACCACAAATATGCAATGTGAACGATCATGTTGACTCTGTAAATCGTCAACGGCAATTTCACTGGCTATTGCTTGCTTGGGTAATATAAAGCATACTTTTAGGAGCATACATGAGAAATGTGCAAAAAATGCATAGACAGCAAATGAAAACGTTAAGACGTAATTTATTTACTTTTTTATTAATTTCTCCTTCGAGATGAGCTACATGATCGGAGTTTCAATGTTGGTTGGAAAATGTTCCTCGGGCCATATACCGATATTGATATTTTTTAGGAAGGAAGATTTGGAGCCAATTCATTTGAAAAAGTGTCTCAAAATGTGGGATAATTTCTGATTGGCTTGGATTTGAAATCGTCAAATAAAAATTCTATATAAAACCAATGAGTGGAGCAGTATACAACTTTATCGGACGGGGCCGTATGGACATATATTGAATACATTCTGCATAAATGTCATTCACAATAGAGCCCCTTTACCCTACACTACTTCAAAATGTGGGATAATTTATGACTTGAAAATCCAACTTATCTGTGGTTCCGAAAATCCAACTTTCTGTGGTTCCATATTCTGAGATTGGGCAATATTTCGCGATATTTGCACCGAGTTCAACAAATATTACTAATATTCACTACAGCGTGGGTTGTGTTGCGATGTTCGGCTTTCAATTATGTCCTATAGATCGACTCGAAAAAAAATTAAGTTTTCGGTCCATTTCATCCCAATATTATTATCCGATCATCACCGAAAATTATAGGCGTTGTCCTTGCCCATACCTGGATCTCGATGGAAAATTTCAAAGCGATCTGTAAATATTTAAGTGCAGCTCCCTTTCCGTGTAGAAATTCGCGACCAGAAAAAAGTTTTTGGCCCATTTCATCCCCTAAATATTAACCGATCTTTACCAAAAACAATAGGGGTCTTCATTGGCCAGAACCCATCCTACATGAAAAATTTCGTGAAGATTGGTCCATAACTGTGGCCTGTATTGGGATACAGGCAGGAACATCCCATAAAAGTGAAGTATTTTATTATTCGACTTTAAAATATTTCAAATGGTACAGAGTTCATTTTTTCCTACACAAAAGTTTTCCAATACTTATTTTTATACTGAATATTTAGTATCAGAGAAGTGACTGTTGCATTTTACTTTACTACAGGTTTTTTACTATTTGTTTTAATTTATTGGGCTTAGGCCTAAAAGTAAGAATGATTTGCATTTAAATTTATTTTATTTTTTATTTTTATTTATTTTATTTTAGTTTCACTTTTGTTATAAAACTAAATTTTTTATAGTCATAATCACACTGTAATACGTGCGTATTCAAATGGGAAAAATACCAAAATAAAAAAATAAAATGAAAAAATTAACATATCAATGTTTAAAATTCAATTTTGCTGGCGTTAGTGCGAATAAAAGTTTATGGCACTTTTACTGACCTAAGGCAAGTCAGAATGGAGGGAGAGTCAGTGTATAAACTAGCATAGAGTAGATAGAATTAGAGGGATAATTTTTATAGCAACAAATTTATTTATTTTTTCATCTTCTTTCTATATCGGAATGGGTTTTCATTAATTTAAAAAAATCTTTTTTAAGGGTTCGATGCTATAAAAAATTAAATTAAAATTTGGGCGATATTTCCCGTCATATTTTAACATTTTGGATGTCTGATAATGTATATATAGTGCCTGATAATATTTTATTTTTACTTTTAATTACGAAAATCTAATTAAAGATCCGCAAAGCTAATACCAGTCAATGATTTTGATTTTTTTGATTATCTCGACGACGACTAATGTCAAGTTTATTGCCACTTTAGTCTGCTGCCACTTCACTTATAATTAATAATTTTACAGTACTTTATACAAAGTGACTATCACAAAATCTCAGCTACTTAAACAACTATAAAATTGAAGAAATTCTATTTTGCTGATATTAAATACGTAGTTGTTTATTTTTAATAAAAAAAATAATAACCTTTCGTCAAGACTAAAGTTCAGAAAAATAGTTCGAAGCTATATTTGTTATATTAGAAACGGTAAATAAGTATGCTTGTTTTATAAAATGCTTGTTTTTATGAAAAAATGCAATTATCAATTTTGTTTTCAACAATAATTAAATAAATAACACCGATAAGGGATTCCAATGTAATAATAACTAATAATAATGCATTTCATACATGTGTGCATTATCATTGTTGTTTAGTTTAGTATTAACATTTGACCGCTAATTGAAGGTTTGAAAAATAACAAATATTTGTGAAAAGTACAAAAAAAAAACATCTCACATTGCAGTGCTATTTTTAACGATAATATAATTATAGATTATAACTGGGCAGATTAAATGTATGACTTTTCACAACGGGATTGACAACTAAGACAAAAACTGGACCAAAACCAAAACTTCTCTCCACTTGAAAACCATGAAACCACAATGTAAAGGCAATCTGGGCTTCAAATATCCATAAAAATACCAATACTTCTCAGTGGAAATTTACACATGACTTAAACTAGAACTTAACACACCGTCCTTCTATATTCAATTCGGTATGCTGTCCTAAATTTCGTATGAATCAGACAAACTTAGGATTTTCGATCTACCATTTGCATTAAAAATTCTATATGAGAGTTATATATAGATCTAAACCGACTCTACAATAAAGGCAGGCTGCCATTTTTTTAACATAGTACAGGTCACATTTTTTTATCCCATTGCAATTAAACTTTGGACCATTACTTAGGTGCACTAATCAGAGAAAAATATATTTGAAAGGTATATCGAAATTTTCATCGATTGTAATAGGGTTTGTCCTAGAGCCAAGTTCTTATCGTATTTTTTAATAAAAATGCATGGTCACACCAGTCCGCCCGGTTAAATCAGCTCAAAAAGTTATTCGAAGTGTATCCAAAGTATAGAAACGATGGGTCTGTCATGCTACCTTCTGTATGTTACATATGCGTGCACAAATACAAAATCACGATGTGGAGTAGAGTATAAATAGAAGTTAAGTTCGAATACGTCAATTTTTTTTATTCTCTTCGTCATGAAGAGGGTCCTCAAATTCCTGAAGAAATTTATGCCAAAATATGAACTTAAATTTAAAAAAAGGTCTACCAGGTAGACTCTTAGAAACTGTAATACCAATTTGCAACACTTAAGCTGTTGATAATGCGCCAAAGACCTTCAAAATACTAAGAAGTAAAAAAAAACGAAGCTTTGTCGAACTTTTTATACCTTCCAACATGAGGATGACAATCAAAATATCTAAAGTTAATGGGAGCTCCTAGGAGAAAACTTCTTTTTTTCTGATATGATCTTGAACATACCGGAGATGTGGTGATATGGTTATAAAAATCCAAAATAACACATTACAGCCGATTTGATTGAAAAACGTGTCAAAAATTCCCATATTGGGGGTACCATATTATGGGGAATACCCTTTAACGTGGGTCAATATTAAAAATGTTTAATATGGAGATGTGCTATACAATGAAAACCCATAATACCAAATTCAGCCAATTTCCAACATAACGAATATTGAAGGGTAATGTTATGTGGCGGCTACCCTGAAACTTGCGTCATTATTAATAATTGTTGGTACGGTTGTGTGTTATTCAATGAGAACCCAATACGCCAAATTACAGCCAGTTCGATTGGAAAACATGTCCTAAATTTCAGAGACCTATCTTAAATATTGCGATCCCTATAGTGATTTCCACAGACAGATGACACAGAATTTTATTCTGATTAAGAATATATATATATATACTTTCTGGGGCCTCCGTTGGATATTTCGAGGTGTTGCAACGGAATTAAAATTGACCGGCCCTTCATGTGATGACTCTGTGCCAGAATAAGAGAATAAGAATAAGAGACATTTTGTCATCTGCTTAACCCGAATTGTCTAATTACGGAAACTAAGTGCTTTTGAAAAATGTTATTCAGAATGCCAAAAAAAAGTCGACTGATACCATAATCTGCTACTATAGTCTGCCTTTCCTCTCTGAATTTCTCTTTTCGAAATTTTCTTTACTAATGTTTGCTGGGTTATTGTGGTAAATAAGTACACATACTATACTATTTCAAATAAATTCCAAAGTTTCGTTTTTTTATATTCCCTTTAATTGACGGATCATTTTAATGTGGAAGACATGACAGCAGTAATTACCGGCTTTATTTCCAATTAGAAAAACGAGGGAAAAAATAGAACAACATTTGTACCAATCAGACATGAAATGATCTAAGAGCAAACAATTAAATAATTTAATAATGGAATTTATTTGTTGGACTTATTATTGCATGTTTTTTGGTATCATGGCTCAAATCCCTCAAATGTCATCCTCCCATCTAATAGATTTAATAAATTATTTCCGCTGCAAAAAATTGCAAAAAAATATATACATATCAATATCAAGTGAATAACGGCAAAGTTATGTCAATGAAATGTAGCGGTATTTGAAGGCGAAATGTGTTTCCATACCCTACACAACTGCACTGGTAGCCAAAACTAAAGCAACTAAACTTGTGATTGTTAATAAATGCCGTATAAATTGTCTAAGAACAATATATCGTGTTGGTTTTTCAATTTTAAATCGGGTACTTTAATAAAAGACATAAAGGTATAAAGATACGACAATTGATACGTAAACAATTTCCAACAGATGACTTATCCTCTGTTGCTACGATATCATAACAACAGAGAGAACAATATTAAACGTTTTTAGTGCTATATCTTAAGCTTATAAAATGAAATTTCGAATTTTATGCGTTCCCAATTTTCCTGTTGGGTGATTTTTAAAAACATAATTTGTCATATTCATATTGACACTGGTATTACGTTGAAATCAAATTAGCTGGGTTTTGCTGTTACCTTTTATAATTGTACCATGACCTATTTCGATCCTTATAGATTATTTTTAAATGGATTTTATTACAGTAACATGTGTCTGGTTTTCAATTTTGACATACTGTCAAAAAAATATAAAAAATGGCTAAAAACAAATGCAGTACTCCGATAAAAAGCTAATTACCTGTGAAAATAATTTATCATAGAAAATGGTTTCGGAGAAATATTCCAGTGTTTTCTCGAATTATAAGTCGATTTTATGCAACTATATCAGCCGTGACAGTTCAGCACGAAATTTTTACGTGATTTATGAAGTAATGGGCCGGATTGTCTATACGAATGTCTTGGAAAATATACCGCTTGTTTGGGTGTTTCAGCTTGACAATAACGTGCAAACATACACCAAAACATGTCAAAGTTAGTTTGTGGGAAAAATCTTCTGGAATATCATATATAGCAAAATAAAACCAGTAAGAAAAGTAGTAAAGTCGGACTGGGCCGACTATATGATACCCTTCACCACTTTGGGTATATTTTCCATATGTATCCTAACAGACGACGCGTTTTGTTATAAATCTATATCTGAACCGATTTCATTGAAACTTGCCAGAGATTAATTTATATAACATCAGTACGTTGTGTCAATCGGCTTGCTATGGATCTTTTCACGAAGCTTATCAACATCATTCTAGACTTAATTCAGTACCCTATACCAAAATTCGTGCAAATCGAAAGATATATAGGGTCTTTGGTGCACCAATTACCTTAAATCGGATAAAAGTACATATGGGAGCTATATCTAAATCTGAACCGATTTTCACGAAACTTGGCAGACATCATTCTCGATCTTATTCATAACTCTGTGCCAAATTTCGTGCACATCAAAAGATTTCCAGGGACTTTAGTGGAATATTTACCTAAAATCGAGCGAAGCTATATATGGGAGCTATATCTAAATCTGAACCGATTTTCACGAAACTTTGCACACATCATTCGTGACCTTGTTCATTACGCTGTGCCAAATTTCGTGGAAATCGAAAGATATATAGGGATTTTGGTGCACCATTTACCTTAAATCGGACGAAAATATTTCCCAATTTCAATAGGGTTCGCCTTGGGCCAAACAAATGAACTGTGCCAAATTTCATCCAATTCGGATCATAAATGCGACCTGTACTTTGTTTACAGACGGACGGACGGACGGACATGCATAAATCGACTTAGAAAGTGATTCTATGCATATTCTCAAAAGGAACCATGGGTCTATCTTGATTATTTTTGCCTGTTACAAACATATGCACAAAGACATAATACCCTGTACCACAGTGTGGTAAAGGGTATAAAGAGTTTCACAAACAAATAGGGAATAATATACCCAAGGGTCAAATTGAGCATTTTATTGATTCAATGACTCGCAGGTATGCTGTCGTAATGAAATATAGTGGTTATGCAGTCGATTGCTAGCAAAATTTGATTATTTATTCTAATATTGAGGAGTTAAAAGACGAACCTGTTGGTTAGATTCAGACGTGTTTTGAGGATCATAAAAAATCCTGGTGTATTACATCTGAGAGGGCTTACATTTCTTGATACGACCATAATGGTTCTATTTTGGTCAGACCTCTTATGTCTTTCATTTACATACATATTGCGGCAATATCGAACAATTGTTATTCTCTAGAATTCACTTAAAACCCCCAAAAAATACAATTGACGTCCAGAATTTAATTTTTAACTATGGACCGAAGCTTCTTTCTCAGAACTCTCATTGTAATTATCTTGTGTATATATACATATACATACGCACAACATTTTAATATGGAAATCATAAAAATGTCATTCATATATGTATATCATGTATTTACTTATTATTTCCTTTGTGCTCCCAAAAAACGCAGAGCTCACAATTCTAACACGTGCTAAAGGCACAATGATCCCGTCGCCGCCGCCATTTCATTCTCACATGACAACAAAGTCAAGTGAACTCAAATCAAAGAAAACAATTGATACAACATCGCAGTAAACAATACTCACTTTGTGTTTCCGGCCAAGCCATCGCCGGGCAAAAATTGTTCCATTTCTTGGGGTGGATGTTTGCCACCGCTATCCTAAAAAATGAAAAACAAAAAAGCACATTTTCAAAATACAATAAACAATTAGCTGTAATTCAATTTAAAAAATGTTTTCAATAAATTTTTATCTTTGAAAATCTCAAGAAATTCAATAGAAGACGCAGTTTCGTTTCGTTTCGTTTTTTTTTTTTTTTTTTGCACTTACAGTTATGTTCACCATGTTTGTAAATTTGTGTTGTTCTTTCTGCCTCTGGCTTTGAAACTAGAAATATCCGGCTGGAACAATTAAATGCCCTCTCACACACACAGAGTTCGTTCAATTCTACGCCTCTTTGGAATATTAATTGGTGATTTAATTGATGTCGTTGTATTTGCCTTTTTTAGGTTCCGAGTGTAAAACTTTTACTTTTCTTTAATAGTTTTATTGTTTATTTGGTTTTGTAAGTGATCGCTGACTGGCTGTTCTGTAAGAAATAAAAAATATATAATTTATTATTAATATTTGTATAAAATAATATATTCTTAAATGTTTAATGTATAAAAAATATAAAACCTAGGGCTACACCATTTACATGAAATCAACTAGTTCGGTGGGTATTGTACCCTAATATCATATGGATATGGAATATTAATCACAAATCAATTTACATTCAAATCAGTGCAGAGATTTGGGTATAAGCTCTCACAAATATATATGTATATTGTTTAACAATTTTGTATTTATATTTTTATATAAATTTTAATGTGACAAGTGATTTATGAATTAAAAAAAAAAATAGGAATTTTTGTTCGCATCTTCCCAGACAGTAGGCCAGACATCAAAAAATCCCCTTCATTGACACATATAAATGAATATTATTAACTTATGTATATACGAACTTTCAATACTAAACATAGATAGCGGTATAAATTATAAATGTATGCTAAATTATAAATTCATTGGTTATTTGTTGTTGTTCTTCTTCTTCGTCTACTTTACGTCATCCACAAAAGTTGATTGAACTTGTAGAAATACAAAGACAAAATTAATGTGGTGAAATATAAGCACGAAGTTTAATCACGTTTTTTTTTTTTTTGTATTATTATTCGTGCTAGATGGTATGAACATTAAGTAGATAGAATTAACAAAAGTGTTATATTCGGTTAGGTCGATTAACTGACATGGCAATTGGGACTGGAGAACTAAATATACAAAATATATTTATATATAGGGGAGACTGGGCACCTTCGGCATCGGGGCACCTTCGGCAATCGCGTTTTCGATATGAAGCTCTCACCGTACATCACTAGTTTCGATACATAGGTATCGAATATCGAAATAAATAACTGACACGAAGTTTGAAATTTCTAGCTAATAAGCTTATTTAGATACATAGGTTTTTGTATTTTTATAGATGTTTCTGTAATATTTCAATTCCATTTCGTAAGTATTTCGTGTATAAAACTTTTAAAATTTTTAAGACAATATTATTAAAAAGTGGTTAACTACGATGTGTATTATTATAGAAATATTTAAAAATATAATGTTTTTACAAAACTGATCGAAAAAAAATTAAAAAAACTATAAAAAGTACATTCGGGGTACATTCGGCATTTTAAAGTGGGCACATTCGGCCATATACATATTGTGCAATATTATTTCCTTAAAATGTTTTTGAGTTTGTCTTTACTAATTCTTTAATATCGAAATTGCATATATAAGATCAAACGTGCTTATATTGACGAAAATGCGATAGAAAACCCCTATTTCTGATGGTGTGTGCGACCTTGAGATGTAAACGTCCGCCGCTAGAAAATAAAGCCCTATAATTCAAACATTGTGTGGCGTATTAAAACCAAATAGAGCCTTTAGAGGATCAGAATTTCAACCAGACTGATAGCGATGACAATTGCCCGGCTATGACTATGGTGCCGAATGTGCCCCATCAAATGCCGAAGCTACCCCGGGTTGGGGCACATTCGGAGAATTTACCTTTTTGTTACAAAACTGTAAAATTTTTTAACTAATACTATTTATTTATATATTTTTGGTACTATTTTTTTATAATTAAGTGTCAGAGGACAATAATCAGCCATAAAGTTGTTATATATGTTGAATAAGTACTGAGATATAGAGCTCTAAAAAAAAGTGCCGAAGGTGCCCCTGTACAAAAGTACAGTTTCTATTAAAGTGTTGTTGTGTATAAAAATTTATATTTTATAAAACTATTACACGAGAAATTTGACCGAGTAAAAATGATAACCAAACCAAATGTTGTGCCAATTATGAAGGATTCCTACCAATGTTTGAAATTTGTATCAGTTTCAGAAATTTTCGTAGTATTTTTCCTGGCTTTACCAATAAACAAAGTACGGGAAGAGAATATTGGTATTTCATTTAGTAATATTTTTTGGCATTATGACACATGTTCTGCATAACACCTGTTTAAATAAATGCGGGGTGTTCTGCAATGAACGGAAAATTACAAAAATTATATATATTTCTTATATTAAAGAATAGGTGAGTGTGTTTTAAAATACCCGTGTTTTCTATAACAATGTATTTTGAATAGTGTAACGAAATCCGGTAAGCAGAGCAGTATAGTGGGACGATGCAAACCATATAATACTTTTTTCGACAACCATTGAACTTTAGGTTTCTACGTAGATATTTATCGAGTCTGGACAAAATTTTGTCTAATATGGCAATGGTAATATTAAAAAATATTCGAATATAGTATTATTTACAATATCTTCCATAATCAATATCAATAAAGTTGTTATCAGATTAAAGGTCGAGATCTCATCTTAGATACAAGGGCAACTTTTCGGGATTGTATCTTTCCGGTGGGAACATATACGCCACAGTATGCACATTTTCACACAAATGTCTTGGTCAAGTTGATCGGCCACTAGTTTACCAATTATCATCAAAAAATATCTAGAAAATTCGGTGGCCAGATCTCCTTCCCCGTGTAAAATTGCACAATGTTCAGGTCACAATTCTTGTAACCTGCTGAAATTTTGTTTGATCCATTTCACCTCCGTAATATTAGCCGATCATTACCATCATTGGTAAGATCAGAACATACAATCAAAATTACGTGACAATTGGCACATAACTGCGATCTGTACTCTGATAGCAAATTATACTGTGAAACAAATTATACTGTGAAAGTGGAAAATTTCTATTGCGGACGAAAGACCTTGGTGAATATATGAAAACCCCCAATGGAAAAATTCGCTATAGGTAAAAGTTTGGAAATATTTATAAATGATTGTTTCATATCTTGATTTGTAACTATTGATTTGTAACTATTTGTATATATAGCTTTGTACAGCTCCAAGAGTTTGTACCGCCGCGAAATATTGGCCCCACACCCACCTTTAAGTATACCGATCGTCATATCTTGACTAGCTGAGTCGATCTAGATATGTATGTCCGTCCGTCCGTCTATCCATTATAATTTGTAAATACGATACAGGCCACAGTTATGGACAGGCCACGAAATTTTGCATGTAGGATGGGTTCTGACCAATGAAGACCCCTATTGTTTTTGGTAAAGATCGATTAATATTTAGGGGATGAAATGGGCCAAAAACTTTATTTTTGTCTAATTTTATGGTCGTTCCAGAGGCCGCAATTATGGCCCAAACATCGCGAATTTTTACATGGAAAAGGGGATCGGGTCAAAGAGTACGCATGTCGGTTTTGATAAAGATGTGTCAAATGGACCCTGACTTTTGTGTGAAAAATGACAAAATGGTCTATATATTTACCCCTGAAGGACATAGATGCGATAAGTTGATAGTATGTCCAAAAGGAGTGGTTGACCTTTAAATTGATACCAATTATATGGTCGTATGTACTCGGATGTGGGAGATACACTTAAATATTTACAGGTGCTTACGTATTCATATATTATTTAGTAACCCACACACTAGAGGACGGAAATATAGCGCTGATCGCTTTTCTATATCCATAGACTAAGAAATAATAAACAAAAAAATAAAATAAATAAAAACAATATTGGGATGAAGTGGATCGAAAACTTATTTTTTTTTCGAGTCGATCTTTAGTCCACAGTTGAAAGGCGAACATAACAACACAACCCAACCCACGGTGAAGGGAATCTGAACAAGTAATTAGAAGAGCTATACTGAATGTTAGTAATATTTGTTGACCTCTAGTCGGTCAAGAGGGTGCAAATATCGCAAAACATTGCTCAAGTTCTGAATGTATTACCACATAAAGTTAGATTTTCGTGGAAGTTGTGTGGGGTATCATATGGTCGGCCCCGTCCAACTATATTGTTCCGCACACTGGTTTGAGATTACATTTCTTCGGAAAAATCGAATGAGGAATTTCTTTGTATAACGTGTTTGTAGTCCTTTTCGTCTTTAGTTTATTGAACCGGGCTGCAATTAGCACAATATTCGATTTTTCATACTCGAAATATTCTACAAAAATTTTGCTCATAAAATTTTAGGTTATGTCCTCGAAGAATCCATATTTTAACGTTTTAATCGTCTTTTCTACAACTATAATACAACCCTATATGTATGTTTGTAATTCAATAAATTGTTTATATATTTTGTATTGTAAAGTACTGTCGGATTCGTTCAAATAATTTGCTGAAATATGTTAAAAAATTATTTCGAGGAAGAAAAAAATCGTGTGTTTCTAAAAATTTAGAAACGGATATTCAATTTAATAAAACCGACAATAGTCCGGTTCAATAAATTTTGTGCATTTGTTCATTGGCTTTCTAAAGATATGCATATTGGGTATTAAAACCGATTTTATTATCTAAAAATCTGGTTCGAAAATTTAGAAAACCGGTGCTTTTTTCCTTGAAATATATTAGTTTGGGAAAAAAAGAAATCCATTATTTTTTTATGTAAATGGTTTAAAACAGTTTTATGGTCGATGTTACGACTGCTAACATGCCGGTCAACTTCGATCTTTTCTCCGATTTTATCAAAATTTTCGACGACGATTTAAAGTTAAAGATGCGAGGTGCTCTTTAACATTAAAAATTCCGGAACGTAATCTATGAAACTAAAATTACATATAATTGCCTGTTACAGTATCGGAACCATAAACACCATTCACAATTTTAGCCGCTTAGCTTGCATTTTCGCCTTTGTCAAAGAAAAACTGTAAAATGTACGAATTTTCTCTGTGCCCAGTTTCATTTTTAACACCCTGTAACTCACAACTGAATGCACCAAACAAAAAACAGCCGAAAAAATAAT